CACTTGTCAAGGACATAGAAGTTCAATCCGTGTGAGATAGTTTTTTCTTTGTCAAAGGTAGTGCGCACACCTTTGACTGCATGTGTGGATAAGACCTCTTTGTTACCTACTTGAGTCAGGCATGGGCTCTGCAAAGCCACTTGCTTCATCCCCAAGCCCGCTTTGAGTATCTCGTATAGTGACTTGAAATTAGTCGTGACACCACAATCAATCAAAACGCGGAGATAACGGTGGTTAATGAGAAGTTTGAAAAAGATTAACTTCGTTGTCCCTTGAGCACGTTGTTGTTTCATCTCGGCTCAATGTTGTAGGTGATAGTGAAAGTCGACCTTCTCCGACTCCTCCCAAGGCTCAACATACAAAACATGACATTCATTAGCCTTCGAATCAGCAGCTAATGGGGCTTCAAGGGAGAACTGCTGGTCCGTGACATGTTCATTTGGAGAACTATCGCTGACTGGTTCAAACTTCCTTGTTGTAGAGTATGCTGATGAACCCTCTACACCCGATTCAGGTTTTCCTTGCAGCCTAAAGCATCCTCGGACATTATGATTTGTTTTCTAGAAATGCAGGCAACCTCCTTTCTTTATCCTAGCCTTCATTCAGTCCCACTGTCCACCCAAGTTTCAGTACTTGCGTCCTCCCGATTGGCTGGGATATTGGCTCCCTTAGGGTGTGCGACGAAGTTCCTTACTGAACTCTGGTTTTGGTTTCCCTTAGTATGGGCAGTCATCTTGAAGGCACCGGATTTTTCATTTTGTTATTAATCTCGGATTCTTGGGTGGAAGAGTAAGTTGTATCATCGCCCTATTCTTGGTCGTCTCCAAGAGCGGGGTCATCTGCTTCGGCCTCCCATTCGACCTCCAACAAGTCAAGCGCAACAAGATGGTTGCTGCCACAAAACCATCCGCAAACAAAGGTCTTTTTGTTGCTTGTTGTGATAAGGAGGTCTCCTACCTCTAGACTAACTACATCCTTCATCAAGGAAAACCAGTCAGTGTAACCAAAGAAATCCTTGCCTAGGCGATTGGTGAAATGGGTGGCAACCGTATCTTTCGCAACATTCAAACCCGTTTGCGTTGTCAGTTCCAATCCTAGTGTCGCAAAGAGTTTGCCGACATGCAATTGCAATTTATGCATGGTGACCTGCCACTTGCTGCGGTTAAGTTCATCGAGTTGGATCCTTAATCTAGCTGCAACATGCGGGTCTTTGTATTGTGCTAATAGTATCTCTTCAAGAGCGGCAGTCGGGGTGACATTAAGCCATTCCGTTAAATCGATCTTGGGATACCCAACTTGCATAGCTTGGACCTCTAGGACGCCCCTACGACAGCCTCGACGTTTGTCCCCAGGATCAAGGATTGACTCACTCTTTGAGTGCCTTGCACCTCAAACTAAGCTCTCATGGAGCTGATGCAGGACTCACCAACTTCCTTGCCATCATATCTGGACGGTATCATTACCGCCGTTATGTCCATGCATGGACTGCCATAGCTGGTACCAGCCATTGCTGGATCCGTACTCAAGGCTGCGGCAATTGCAGAATTTCTTGCGTTATCGCTTGTAGCGGCAACGGAATCTGCACCGGCTGCACGTCCTGACTGATTAGCCATCAAACTCGACGAAGAAGAACAAGAATGAGAAGACGGATGGAGAGGTGCAACGGTGGAACTCCTTGCAGCAAGAGGTCAGCGAAGAGAGCTTGACATTTGGGCCTGATGCTCCTTGGCCATATCCGCCATTTGAGTACGCATCTGACTCATTTCATCGAGTAGTTGGGACTTTAAACTCGGGATCTCGCTGAGCAAATGGTAATCTACGAGGGCGCACACACATACTTGACAAGATCTTTCTTAATAACATGAGGCATGGTTGAGACTTTTAGAAATGGTCTTAATATCTTCAGCGACTGTTTCCCGCTTGACCTCTTCCTCTTTTTCCTCCTTGGCCATTTCCTTACGATAGAGGGCCTGGTACAACGGTTTATCTTCTTCATTCGCTGCATCCAAACGAGCCCTTAGAATATCGGAAAGCTTCACTGATGCCATGTTGGAACTACTAGATTCTTTTGTTGCCATGGCCTCTCTTTCTTCTCTATTGTCCGCGCGTCGCTACGGGCACACAATGGAAAAAGAAACAAACTGAAAGCACAAAAGAGAAGGTAGAACTCCTAGCCGGAGCGGAAAAATATTTGGACTAGAGAGCAACCATTAAGAAAAATAAAGATACTTCAGAAGAGAGTTTTGACTCCGCGTTTCAGTCCGATCAGACCAAGTACGAGATCCCCTCGAGCCTAATCCGATTGGCACCGTCAAAGTACAGCAAATCAGACGACAAGTGACAACATACAACAATGGACAATTGAGTGGTGTATACGGTGATGGTCAAGCATCGGATTGTGTGTCGTCGGTCTGCAAAACATCTCAGTCGAGATCCCCTCGGCCATGAGTGCTCAAATAAAAAAGAACGGCAACGAATTCCAGACAAAAAAGAGAGCAGCACTGCGTCAACAGATTTGAGTCCAAAGGGCCCTTCTCATTTGGGGCTAGTCCCACTGAGTCCCTATGGGTCCCACGTAGGTCGCGACCAAGTCCCACGCAAGAAGAGTACCACAAGGTCCTACTTTCTGCCTCTACCGTACTGAAAAATGAATTTAAAAAAAAGAGAGAACCTACAGACTACATCCATTCAGAATGAAAAGACAAAGCATTGTAGAAAGATATGGCATTCCAAGCAAGATATTTAATATCTACATCCATCAGGTTAGTAAGCAGTTTGCACACAACCAAGACTTCAGAGGAGTAAGAAAGAGACCTAGAAGTACCCCAACAGGAAAAACAATACCATGCACACGCACATGGCAAACCCTTAGCTGTACGACACTTACCTGAGTGGCCCAGACTTTGAGATGAAGTATAACTCACCCCCCTTCCTCATATGGTCCTCCTAACCCTATTCGCTACCTATACACTAGTGTCCTATCATGTAGGAGGGTCTGACTCCAACACCAAAGTGCAACGCCGCATCCCCCACCGATCCTGAAGAACAAAGTAGCAACTTGCAGTTCATAGATGCAGAATGGCTGCCTCCCTCAAGATCGCCTACTTGAGGGAGGCCCTCAAGTCACCAAGTGTCTCCCTTAGGTCAGATTCCAGGTGCGAGTGTCTCTCACTGTTGCCTCTGTCAACTTGTCGCATGAAGTCCTCTTGATGTGTCTCGCCACCACAAGCTCACTCCCAACCAACCTGGTCAGGTTCAGTGTCGACCCAACACAACCTGACCAGGTGAGGGAAGCTTCCCTAACCCACATTGCCCCACTTCCCACTTCAGACCAACCCTTTATGGTGGATAATTCAACTCTCACCAGCAAGTAGAATCCGCTCTGACACCAAATGTTCTGATCCTGGCCAATTTTGAAGAACACATTCATCAGAAAGTACAATGTCGTCCAATAGCAAAAATAAATGAATGAACTTGAGGGGAGAGAGAGGGAAAGAAGAAGAAGAAGAAGAAAGAAAGAAGAAGATGATGGTGTACACCAGCATAAACCAATGATAATGCTCTTCTTCGCCAACCACTCTCCTCCTCCTTAAATCTTCCCCTCTTATTCAAACAA